CATACTCGGTATCCATGTGCACATCGACCTATTTTCACTTAAAAAAAAAATCCTAGAATTGCACAAAAAGTGCACTGCGCCCACTCTTGACTGTATCTATGTACACATCGACCTATTTTCACTTAAAAAGTAAAAGAAAATTGACAAAAATCCAATTGTTTTTAACCTTGTAAAAAGCGGCAAACAAATAAGTGAGGGATTCCGCACTTTACCGAGAATATTTTCAAAAAAAAAAAAAAAAAAAAAAAAAAAAAAAGGCAACATTCATTATAGAAAATTACGTTTGAACAACCAACGAGATGAAATTATGCTTTAGCGATAAGTCGGTAGGGAAATAGCGATGCAGGCATCCATTCAGTTACGTTTAGAAATTTTTATATAAATTATAATAATAAAAAGTATTATATGAAATTAAACTTTCATCTAAATTAAAACATCAGTCTTAGTTATTTACTATTATACTTCCTTTCTTGCCGCAATTATTAGGGTTGCTGCAATTATTTTTGGCAGCATTGGCATCAACAATAGTTTGGCGATTTTTTACGGCCCTCGAAACCGAATAGTACCCAGTTTCTCCTAAAAAGTCTTCCAAGAAAGCATCCTTTCTCATAGGGAGACAAGCCCTGGAGTTGCTTTGCCTTAGTTAATTAACCTAGCCTAATCCTTCAAGCAATTTCTTCCAATAAATTTTATCTCCAGAATTTTTTTCAGTTGTTAGAATGAATTCAAACTATTTGTTAACATCGTAATAGTATTAGTTAGATATTGAAAGGAGCGAAAGTTGTACATGCTTCGTAAATTTACTCAAATCTAAAAATAGAACATCGGGTTTTTCTTTTTCTCAAACCGTACGAAGTGATTTCCAGTGATCATGACTTATCCATTTATATTCTATATATATTATCTACTCATTAGGACTAGACCGCTATGAGCCTTTACTATGCCTCTCAAACTGCTCTAAATATTCGGGATAATATAAATATTTTATAGCTTTTATTTTAATAAAAACTCGACAAGGGAGAAACTTAATATTAATTAATTAGATTAAAATAAAGAAATTTAATATTAATTAAAATAAAGAAACTTAATATTAACTAATTAGATTTAAAGAATTACTCAATGTTACAGTATACTGAACTGAATAATAAAAATTACTGAAGAGAGATACTATCCATTGTTTTATGCTTTATTTTATTATTTAATTAAAGCAAAAAATATTATTTATTATTATTAATATTACTATTACTATTATTGTTAGAGCTTTTACAGATTATTCAGTCTTCCGTGTCTCATAACCCTTATGATAAATATTTTTCAATATTTTAGTTTTCTGATATGTTACATTTATAAAAGAAAAGCGCGAAAGAAATAAACAAAGTTTTTAAAAATAACATAAGATTAACAAATAACAGTTGTAGATACATAAGCTGTTGAGGTTTATTTAATTTAAAAATTAAATTAAGAAAAATACTTGTATTAATAATCACAACAGAATAGAAATTTCACACAAGAGAGAAATTTCTCTTAACTTTATAAATAGTCATATAATTGTAAGATGCAATCCAAAAATTTGCTGAATATTCTGCTATTTAACTATAAACGTTTGGATCACAGGCTCCACAAAAGCTGTAATAAGGAAACACTACAAGTCAGAGATTCTCCTATAAAGGCGTTTTTATTAAGAACATAGATTCTTCCGGGCAAGTCGAGAGAATACCATATTTTAATACATAAATTTAAATAATATTGTTTTAGAATTAGTCTGTTTATCACAACAACAACAATTGCCAAGAAGAACATCACGTGTCCGACTCAGTGAAATAATGCTATACACTCCACGTAGAGAGTGTATAGCATTATTTCACTAGTCCGACACTCCACATAGAGACTCACTGAGTCGGCTAAGCACTCCACGTGGAGACTCTCTGAGTCGGCTAAGCACTCCACATAGCCGCATAGACAGTTCATCAACCAAATTCCCAGTAGGAAATCTAAGACGAATGGAAGAATAAAAATCCAATGAATGTTCAAAGTAGAATTTTTTTTACAGAAATGAATGAATGAATGCCCCAAGGAGAATTCTTCTTACAGAAATGAATAAATGAATGTTCCAAGGAGAATTCATCTTAGAGAAGTAGAAAAATTTTAAAATATGTTCCAACAGTCATGACAACGATACCAACTGCGAACAAAAGCTTTTCCTCTGTAGTTATAATCTTCTTGCATTTTTTGACAATCTGCATGAGTTTTCTGAAGAAACTATTTATGATTCCCCCCACATTAAATTTAATATCTGGAATATTTGAAGTACAAGTCCATGCATATTGGAGCAAATACTGCGCTTGTGCAGCTACGGTTTTATCAGGTATTAAGATGTTACGATTCTGTACATCATTGTCAACAAGTTTTTTTGGTCTCTGAGGAAGCTTTCTATCTTCTTTCTTGATGCGAATTTTGCGGTAACAGTAACATTTCTTCGATTAGGCTACGTAATCAAGCTTACAGTGGACGTTTCGGTTGGTTTTTCTTCTTTGGGAGAGTACATGTGTACGTCAGGGGGCCATGACTACACTTCAAGCATCTAGACTGCCTGTTGTAGAAGATCTGATCGTGGCCAAGTCTTTGACAACGGTAATTTCTGTAATGTCTAAATCTGACAAGTAGATCTAAAACTGTGTTCTGCAAATAGATGCTTTTGCCAGTATTCGTACTTTTCACAGAAATGAAAAATACAGGAAACTTCGTCACGGTATTTTGAGCTTTCTTCGTGAACTGAGTAACTTACACCACAGGAAAAACATTTGGCAAGAAGTTCCGTCTCAATTTCTTGTGGTCGTAATCAACAAATACAACTCGGGCAACAACCTTAACAGGTGTGTCGGCTTTTCTCTTAGAAATACTGAATACAATGTCCTTCTTGAGAAATAAACCAAACACAGCATTTGGATTTCGAATGGAATCAAAGAACATAGTAATTTGATCTCTGAAAAGATTTCCAGTGTAACCTTGTGTTCCATGCTGTAATAAAAGGCTTCATGTCTTTTCCCAAATGATCTCCAGTCACCGCCAGGTTAGATGAAATCTTTCTTTTTCTAGATTTGACCTGGTAACAGAAGTGACAGCCATGCATACATCTTCGGAGTTTTCATATTCATCTTGCATTTCATTTTCTTATCACCTGGAGTATGAACTTCAAAAGATTCTGACCGGTTATTTGTTGATAACGGGAACGGTAGCCGGCTCTAGTGTAGAATTGGGTGTCCCTTCGATTAACGACAAATTTTTGTAAAATTTTAGCGATGAAATCTCATTTCTGGTTACCATGATAGTGTAACTTTGCTTTAGCCTCCTGATTTTTTTTTAAATAAAATAGATTGTTGTGTACATGGACAAATTTAAAGCAGTGCGCAATGCCTAGTTTGTGCAATTCTGGGATGTTTTTTTAAGTGAAAACAGATCGATGTGTACATGGACAGAGGGTTTATGCAATTCTTTGACTTTTTATTTTGGTTATGTGTAGCGGCCATCTTGAAATTGTGTCTTCCTGGCGCCGATCTTGGCGTCAAAAAAGAATCGCGAAAAAACAAGGGAACTTTTACCCGGTAGCCTGTTCTGAAGTCATTTTGACAAATTTTGAGGGGGTAATCCAAACTTCATTTAAGTCTGGTTGCTGCGGAGAAGTTTTACAGTCAGTTTTGCTAGAAATAGCCAAAGCAGCAGACTTCTTGAATTTGTTATTTTTCTTCAAGGAGCGGAAAGGAGCAACTTCCGGTGCTGTCTTCCTGAAAATATTTTATCTGTAATCATCTCTAAAATCATTAAGATCAATATGCAGTTCAAAGGCCATAAGCTCGAGAAAGTCGATTTACAGCGTTCTTAGTTTTGCGGGGACAGAATACTGGTGCGCTTCTTATGTTTTAAATCCTTAATATCTTTAAGCAAAGAAAAGGTTTCGGCATCTCTTTCATCTTCAATTTCGTCTTCACGAAAACCATATAGTTAAGAACATCTTTCGCATGGGTGATATTTATAGTAAAGTGAATGACATTCGCAACGAAAACACGAACGAAACACGTGAAACGAAACATGTGAAAGCACGAGTCAAACACTTCATAAAAAATAACGGTATTGACAGTATTGTCAGCCAATCTGAAACATGGTAAGCAAGTTAATTACAGACAATCATCTCCAAAACCGGACCTGCAGACGACATAATCTTCACCGTCGGCGCTCTCTCTCCTGTCTGAACAACAACGAACTCAAATTAAAAATTGTTGCCACTCATAAATTATATTAATAAAATATTTTTTGCATCTAAGTGAAGCTAACGTGCTTATGTTACGTGCTATATTCGTCACGCGCTGCACTGCACGGGGAATAAAACAATTTACAATTACGCAAGCAACCAATAAACTATCGGCGACAAGCAGATGTTAAATTTATTTATTAAATTGTTAAATGCCCGTTCTCTTGTATTTTTAATTTTTCAGGCTTAGCTTTCTGATAATATTCGTCATGCGCTGCACTGCACGGGAATAAAACAATTTACAGTTACGCAAGGAAATAAACTATCGGCGACAAACACTTAAGCCGCTTATATATAAGATAAATAAATACTTAACAAGCACACAATAGCGAAGACGATAATATAATTGTTATTTGCAATGTAAGATTTCCTGTCGAAGAAATATCGACATGTATCCCCTACCAAGAGATTTGAAGCTTTGCAGATGAGTAATATGTGATCAATATGGTTAGAATAATATATTGATAATCGATAACAATTCCACTGTTAAAAGAATATGGGCTTAAAATTAAGATTATGGAGCATGCAAAATCTAATAATTTAAAAATTTGAATCCTGATCCACATAGATTTCGCGTGCTTTCCAATTAATCAAATATACCTACAAGTTTTGAATTAAAAATTTTTTAATATAGCTTTCCGATTTTCAGTTATCATTTCCAAAACCTGTCAGGTAAACATTATATCCGCGTAAAAAATATTGTTGTTATCCTTGATGTTTCAAAGGGTCAGACGAGAATTTTAATAATCATGCTATTATCAGAGATCACAGCGAGAAGTTGAGTTCTCGACTTGTTTCTTGATTTAACGTCTAAAATAATTATACTCATTTTTATAACGAAATCGAAATCTGCCTTTAAGTAACAACTATTTCTATTATTAGCACTAATGGAGCAGGAGGTACAGCTTGATGCACCAAATTTTTCTGATGATACCATTGAAACTGCAGATATAACTTCCTCCGAACTAGCTTATAAATACTATAACAGATTATGGTCATCAGCTCAAGAAGAACTCGGCTATTTGCTTCACCGAGAAGGACATCATGAAACGCCACTTATCATAGAACGAAGACTAGCTGCTGTTCGTCATGCTGCTATATTGTACTTAAGATATGTTAGAGTAGCCAATCAGTTAATAGAATGCCACGAACATATTGCCCAACCACAGAAGAGGAGACTACTGAAGAAGCTAACTGACGCTTGCTTAGGCCGAGCTCTGGAATTAAAGCATGAGCTTGTCGATCTAGAAAAATCAGAGTTTCAATTTCTAGACCAGCTTCTGCTTGATTTAAGGATGATGCCACATGATACAGAAATTAAAATTCCTGAGTATTTGGTAGACGGGAAGTCGTCTGATGAAATTCACGCCCATAAACTAGTTGCGAAGTATTTGAAAATTGTAGCCGATGAAGAAATGAAAAAAGAAGCCGTAAGTAAAGAAACGAAGTTCGCCAGAATGGGAATGGTCATGATCCGGATGTTACAGTCTCACGAAAAAGCTCGACAAGCACGATCTCAGTTCTCTGAAGAACAAAAAAGATACGTGACCAAACAGTTAATCAAACAAAGGGAAAATAGAAAAGGTGAGGTACTTAATTTGTCACGAAAAGATGCCGTGGTTATCATACAAAGAGCCTGGAAGTCGTACCTGTTTTGTAAAAGACTGAATGATGGATATATTTCTGAAATGAAATTTCTCAACATGTTGCCTAGAAAAGAGAAAAACAAAATGGCTTTAGAAGTAGAAAATGATCGTCGAAACATTATTACGAGAAATGAAGATGAATACTTGAGAGCTAAAGAAGCCCTGAAGGAAGAAATGATGACATATCGTGTTTCACAAATGATGGAAGATTTAGAGGATAAAATTCGAAATTATTTCCATAAATATAAGGAAATCTACGGAAAATTTCCAGTTTTCCCAACCGAAGAAGAAGGTGGATCAACTAAAATGTTTGAAGACTCTGTTGACGATGTAATCGATGATGAAGGAAAAACAGCAGAAATAGAAGAAGCAAAAGAAACTAAAAGTGAGAAAAGCAGTAAAAGTTCAAAATCAAAGGATGACAAAGCTAAAGGTAAAGATGAAAAGAGTAAGGAACAAACAGAGGAGGAAGAACAAGCAGGGTTTAAACTCAAGACCTCCAAGTATATTCCAGATTTAATTCAATTAAATGAAGAGTACCAAAAGGTTTGGGCTCATTACGAGCCAGTTAATTTTGATAAATATGACCCAAAGATGGTGGAGGAAGAAGTTATGAGAGACGTAGAATTGATTGTTCGTCTACAAGTAGATGAAAAAATGAGAACGGAGCTCCTTCAACTTACTGAAGCACTGCAAAAAGATACAAAGAAGAAAGCTAAAGGTGCTAAAAAGCAAAAGCAAAAAGGAAAAAAGGAAAAAGGGAAAAAAGAAAAAGATTTAACTCCAGACAGAACACTTGAATCTCTTATTGAAGAATTAATCACAGAAGGAATTATCATAGATTATCCTAAATGTACTCTTTCGGAATTCGTTGGCGATTACAATATTTCAGGTTCACTTCAACAGAGTTCCACTACTCCTGACATGGACCCCCATCCTTGTTTAGCTGACATAAGGAAAACTGTTATTGAATATTGTATTTTACCTATGGGATCAGAATATATTCACTTAAAAGGAGCTTTTGTGAAATCAGTATTATTTGCAGGTCCCCATGGAGTTGGAAAGAAATCTCTTGTTTATGCTATTGCAAATGAAATTGGAGCCGTTATGATGAATTTATCAGCGGAAAACATTCAAGGAAAATATCCAGGAAAAGAGGGCCTGCAAATGTTACTTCATCTGGTCTCTAAAGTAGGTCGCCTTGTGCAACCTACAGTAATTTATATAAAAGATGCCGAAAATTACTTTTGGAAGAAGAAGCCTCCAACGACAACCCTCAGCGAATCAGGTCGCTTAAAGAAGGAACTGCCAAAATTTGTGAAAAAAATTGGAACCTCTGACAGGATTCTGGTTTGTGGTACCACAGTTCTTCCTTTCGACGTTGATCTTAAAGGCATGGGTGCCAGCTACGAAAAAATTATTTGCATTTTCAAACCTGACTACAATTGCCGTAGGTGCTTATGGCGAGAAATGATACTAAAGCATCATGGCAGTATTACACCAAAACTGAACATCAGTGTGTTGAGTAACATTTCTGACGGTTTCACAGCTGGGGATATCAAGAAAACTGTGCAGAATGTCCTAACAGGCCGGAGGTTAGCATTTCAGAAAAAAATACCGCTTAGCACGTTGGATTTCATATCTTGTCTAGCCGAATGTGTCCCAGTGTATGAAGAGGAAGATTTGGCGTACAAATTATGGTATAAGAAAATGCCCATAGGTAAGAAACGCGCTGCCCTTTCAGATCTAGAAGCCCAGGAAGCAGCAGAGGAAGAAGAATCGGAGGAAGAACATTATTAAATTTTGCATATATATTGTGTGTAGATTCTAACAAAGTTACTATGTACAAATTTATCATGGTTGCTTTAAGGGAGGAGTAAATTGCTTTTATTTTTATTTATTTATTTATTTATTTCAAATGTTATGCACTTAATGAATGATATGAAATCTTCTTTGTTACATGTAATATCTTACCACTTTCTGTGCTTGAAGTGCTGAAAGCAATAGCCTTTTACATATTTTTTGCTAAAGAATCATCTTATTATAAACAATCTAATCTTATTAGTTATAAATAAATCTACTGTTATAATATTATCAAATTTATATTATAATAAAGTTACAATAAATATTTCTAAATATTAATTGATATCTCGTATTAGAATATTTATTATGAGATGCTAGCTCAAAAAAATTTTTCTTTTTTCTCGTTATTCAAATATGTGCACCTGAAAATGCGGTATTTAAAAGATGTCTAAGGTTAAAATACAAAACAAATTCTTTTTTGCCTCCAAACGATGATTGATAAATCTTATTGCACTAATTTCCTACCATTGGAAACAGCTTATAGAAATTTATAATGGTGAATACTAGCTGAAATAAATAGTTGCATTCTCACTGTATGTAACATAAAATAATTACAACAGTCAGAAAAATTATAAAGCAAACTACCTTGCTTATAGTCATTCAGATCATTATAAATTATGATCATTTATATTGATTATGATTATTCAGGTCGTAGTTAAGGTGATGAAATAAACGTGATTTATCACTTAAGTCTTATCTTAAATGAATCAAAGAAAATTCTATCAGTTAATACTGCTTTAAAATAAAGGGGGAAAAAACTCTAACCACTACTAAGGAACACAATATTAAGGCAATATAAGTATAGGGGCTAGGAGAGATAAAAGTCAGATTTCACGCTTTTATAAAATAATTGGTATTTTTTAAATTAAAAAATGCCAATTCTTCATTTAAAACATTTCTATAAGTGATAGCATATGATTACAGCCAAATGTTGCGAAATAATTGCTGGGTAAAGACTTGTGGACATGGTGAATATATATAATAGAAAAAAAAATGTTTCAAGCAAAGCTAAAATCCTATTGCACTTTAGCTAATCAGCGCAACCGTTATGGCACTTTAGTGGAAAAAACTGATTTTTTCCAGCTAGTGTTTCTCCGCCGAAGGAGAAACTTTAACAAACCTAGCGATAACCTCTACAAAAGACCAAAATTGTTCAGAATTGTGGGTGGTCGTCTTAAGAAAGTTCCGCTGTGTTCCCATAACAGCTTTTTCTTCGTAACAACATACTGAGAATTCTAATACATTTTAATATTAGAAACCGCATTCAGAGCTTGTATTCTGCCTTTTGCAATCACTCACAGTTTCTTTGGAAAAACCTAGTTAGCAAGTTTGCACTTTACGTTGATATATTTTAAGTTTACTTAAGCATTTATTCCAGAATCTCCCACAACCTGCAATGATTGATTTTCTGTTATTACACGGTTTGTAATTGTTAGGCTAAAAGTTAAATAAAAAGTTTTATTTTAAACATTCTGATTTATTTTACTTAAACGTTTGTGACAAGACGATAAGTGGTCTGACTGTTTTCATGGTTCCAGAATTTGACATTCACAGTAGCCTAGATCCGTAGAACTAGTCTGTATGATACATTTAAGATACATTGAAAAGCAAAATCACTATGATAATCTACTCAGTAATGCGTTCGCGACATTTGACCTGAAAAATAGATGCAGTTCGACTTGGTGTGGATGCCATAGGTTCTTGGTAGATTACTAGAGACTATTTGTTCCAAATGTCTAAGCAGCGGTCACGCAAATTCTAGAAATTCTGGCATGGTGGTGTTTGAGCTTTGAGCTGAAGCTCCAAAATCTGCTCTATCGGTTTAAGATCAAGCGAGTTAGGTGGTCAGGACATTCACTGGAATCCATCATTATGCTTCTCTAACAACTCCAACTCAATTTGAGCCTTGAGACATGGGGTGTTGCCCTGCTGGAAGATTCCATTTCCAATTGAGAAGACAGACCCTATGTAAGGGTGCAACTGATCTGCAGTTATATTCAGATTATCAGGTTCAGTGTTCCTCCTTACTTGCTTGGGGAACATTAAATGACCTGACTCGGAACAGGGAGCTTAGCTTACTAAAGCTATGTTCAATAAATGTGGGAAGTAGACAAGATACACAAGAAGGGTATACGAAACCCTTTATTTTTCTCTCTTTACAATGATTTCCGGACTTCGGAATACAGAGACCAACCACTTGTGGTCTGAACGTCAGAATACAAATATATTAACTAAACTTCTAACTAAACTAACTTTGGATTAATAAACAAGTGGCCTACTTGAAGATTGGCCGTATATTAACAGAAAGGCCGTATGTAGTACAGAGAACTGTTAACACTACGATACGTTTAAAATTATCAAGAGGATTAAACCTCTGGCCTTGAAGGCAACCAGCAACCGAGTAAAACTGCTAATGGCAAGCGGCCTGCTTCTAATAACTCCTTCCTCTCTCTTGCTTGGCAAAAAGCCACAACTTAAGTACTTGGCGTTCGCAAGACAAATTTGCATAAATAAGTTAAAGCTTTTAATTCTGGCCGGAAGTAGAAAATAAGAAGTGATAGTAAAGATTTAAAATAAAATAAACGTTAGTAAAACTTAAGATCCTTACATACTTCCCGCCAGAGTTAATTAGTTTGAAACTGAGGTCTAAAACGACCTTGTTGAAAACTTTTAGCTCTAGAATCTAACGCGAGGCCAATCTTTTACAAACATTTCTCACTAGAAACTAGAAATTTAAAAAAAAAATCGTTTTTTTACATTATCAACTCCATGGACAATTACTTTTCATCTGTACTGCATCTAAACAGGAGCTTTTAGTTGAAATCTGGTTCCTTCCAGAGATCTGGAAGGAAAACTAGTTTAATGAAATGTTACACAATTAAATGGCAAGTAACATGAATATTTATATTTCTCTTAACATTCTTATTTCATTCATGACTTTATTTAATTATCTCTCCCCGTGCTCTCTGACATGTGTTGTAAAAGAAAACACCAAACACGAATGTGTTTATGTACAAGTGTTCAACACTACCGCCTGCAATCAAAACACTAACGTGTTAAAATTCAACATAACAAGACCTCAGTAACACACCCTTATATTCATCTCTAAACCCTGAGGTACTATTCTGAAAGTGGCTAACTCTGAAGTGTAGCGTCAGAGAGCCTAACTACATTCATTCAACCTTTAACACATATTCACAATAATTTGCTCTTTTTACAGTCACACGAATAAGTTTAAAATTTTTTTGGCATTACTTTCACTTTTAACATATCACAGTATTTCTTAACATTTAAAATAACAGTTCACATTGTATATAAGGAACATATTAACATGCCGTTAATTTTACGCATTTTAAAAACATACATTAGTAGTACATTGTTAACTTCTATTCTTTTCCAAGCAAGTGCCAATTCTTCTACATTGAAATACTACATTTCAAAAGTCTTTCAGACTAAAACTTCTTTCTTGCCAGAATCTTTTAAATAAAATTTTATACAATAACTTTTACAATATTCAAGTATTTACACATTCCTATTATACATTAATTTTAGTTTTACTCGCGAGTAATTGAAAAACATAATACCAAAATAGGTAACAACTCATTTCTCGCCTTTTTGGCGATAAAGGTAGACCTCACATGAGGTAAAACGTCTTGAATTCTGCCACTTGCAGTAAGAATGAAAGATTAACTTAAGGTGCAAAGTAACATAAAGTTTTACTTATCTTTGTGATATTCGGACATTCTTTTTTCTGCCCAGTCCTGGAAGGTAGCGAAGATTAGCGTTTGGTTTATCTTCCTTCTTGTGCGGGCTCGCCTTTTCAGTTCCACTTCGGTCACCCTTGAAGATCTTCTTTTTCGCCTCTGCCTGTGGTCTTGGCCGTTTGATGGCAGCTGGTCTTGGCGGAACCGGGACACTTCTCTCTCGTTCCTGCTTGGATCTCGTTGCTGGCTGTTCAAATTTTCCTTGTTTCTTTGCCTCCGCAGCTGGTGTTCCTTCCGCAATTCGTCGACATTTGCTGCGTAGACTCCTGTCCGATGGGTAGATCTTCCGTTTGGGAGCCGGGTTATAGTTGCCGTTATTTCTCCTGGCTCTCTTTGCATTCGTCGTACTTCTCCCTTCTTCATTCTGGGGGTGGTCGTGCGCTCTCTTTTCTGGTCGGTGGAACGGCTTCTTTTTCTTGTTACCTTCAATTTTCCAACGGGGAAACTTTCTTTTCAATTGCTCCTGCCTCCTAATGGCTTGCCCTTGTGATTGTCGTTGTTCCACCTCTGGAGCTTGTGCCTGCCGTGCCGGATCCTGCAAAAGATCTTTAAATATTTGCATTTTATTACGGTCATAGTAATGGTTTTATCTGGTCAATGTTTGCGGAGCATGTTTCACCATTCCTGGCTTTTAACACCACTACAGCCTGAGTTATTTTTTCTATGACATATGGTCCTTCAAATCGTGGAAAAAATTTGGCGGTTTTATCTTCTGGTGCTGAAGAAAGTGAATGCTTAATTTTTAATACTTCATCTCCTACTTTATAAGTTACTCCCCGTCGTTTCATATCATAATAAAGTTTCTGTTTTCTCTGTGCTACTTCAGTGTTCTTTTTTGCTTCTTTAATTAATTTTTCTATATCACCCATTTTAAATTCTGGGGCTCTTTGTTGAACATAAAATAATTTATCTAACGGCGTTATAATCTTTCTGCCTAAAAATAACTCAGCAGGAGTTTTGCCCGTTGTATCATGTTTTGCGGTCCTAAGGGCGAAAGCTAATTCATTGACATAGTTATCCCAGCTTTTATGAAAATTTTTAACATAACTACTACGGATAATTTTCACTATATTTCTATTGACCCGTTCCGCTATATTTGATTGCGGCCGATACGGGACCATTTTTAAATGACGTATGCCCAGTTTTTGGCACATGTCTTCAAATATATTACTTACAAATTGAGGACCATTATCCGATATAACTTTTAGGGGCGCCCCGTATTTTAAAATATATTTATTTAAAATAGAATCAGTAACTAATTTCGCGGAGGCTCGTTTTAAGGGAACAATTTCGGTCCACTTACTAAAATGATCAACCATAACAAGGAGATACCGACTTTTATTTAACTGACTTTTTGGGAAAGGGCCCAATAAATCGATGCCAATTATTT